CCTGACATACTTAGCAAGAATACTAATTCGAGAATTATCACGTAGAGGGTTAATTGAACAGGTTGAAAAGGCTTTGCTGGGCTTATATTCCCATTTGACTTTCCTTTCTTGAATACCATTGCGTAGTTTGTTCCTAGTTTAAACACGTGCTTAAAAGTGGTTCTGTTTTGTAGCAATCGGTATTGTTGGACATCATCATACCCTAGGACTTTCAGATTTGTTTGTTTGGCTTTTTTTTTATATACCTACTCATTAAACAGAAGCTATAAAGCGAGATAGGGTGAGTGAGTCATTTCACTGAGAGACGGTACACGCATGTTCTCTTCTTTATCACCGCCTGGTGGGATGAAAAAATCAGGCTAACAAAGGCAAAACCACAGAAGCGGAAGACCTAGCTAAGACTGACCTTCTCTGGCAGACATGAAAAATGTCCAGAATCCCCTCCAGAACCCGAAGTGATTAAATTTGACTAGAATCCTCAAAAATGAAGCAAAACTAATGCAAGCTGAGAAAGATTGAAAACCCAAAGGACAAAACTGCAGCAGCCCGGGCTGGGCACACCGTTGCCTATATATAACATTTAAGGAAAGCCTTCAGGAACCCAAAGTCAGGAACTTTTCTGCTGCCTGTAGCATGACCAGCAGCCCCCTTTATTGTTCAACTGGTTGATGAGATCCATTAAGAGATCAGTTTTTCAGTTATTTATAATTTTGTCAAAATATTTGAGCTAAAATTTCCTCTGCTGGAGGTGGAATATTTATAAAATGTTCCAGGTAAAAAATAGTTCTGTTATTTTCAGGAATGAAACTATAAGTAAAGAGGATGTTTTCTGATGTTCTTTTTGAGGAGTTTTGTGTTGTGTTTTGGGAGGCACACTGTATCTTTGGCAGAGGAGCAAGCTTGCCGAGAGCAGATGGAGCCAGACTCCGATCGCGGCGGCCCAGAGAAAGCGCAAGAGGCAACAGTCATGGCCTGCAACAAGGGAGATCCCTGCTGAGCATTTGGAAAAGCCTCTCCCCAGGGCATGTTTCAGCACTGGTGTGGGTGCTCCGAGAGACCGAGGGATCTCCATCCTTGGAGGTGCTCAGAAGACACCTGGACAAGGCGCTGAGCACCCTGAACTAGCTCAGGGTCCTGAGTACATCCTCCCTGCTCCTGGGGCTTCGGCTGTGTGGGCTGGGGACCAGGTCAGAGACAGGGCAGCCGAGGGCTGCCCCTTCCCTCTGGTGACTTTGGGGACAGTTTCCAGAAAGCTTTGCTGGAGCCTCAGCCAGGGCTGACCCCCTGCCCCAGGGGCTGCTTTTAAGCGGGTGCCCTTGCCCTTGGCTCCTGCCTGAGCGGTCTCGCCTGTGCCTGACCACGCACTGTGTTGATCTAGACCCGTGGATTGGCTTCTTGGCTTGACCCCGAGACCTGCCTTGTCAAAATGGACTTGTCAGGCAATTGCTGGACTGCGGCTCGCCCTGGTTACTGCCTCCAGGCCCAATCCTGATGCTGACTTGTCTTCTTCGTTTGACCTTGGACCTGCCTCGTCACCACAGGCTTGTCTGACAATCTGGATTCTCAGCTGAACCCGGCTATCGCCACCGTACCTGCCTTGCTCACCTTGCTCAGGTGCTTCCCCTTGCTGGGGAAGCCCTTTCCTCTGCCTACCTTGTTACCACGCCTGGATCTTGGCTGCCGTTCCTTTGGGGAGCAGCCAGCCCTCATTGTCCCCAAAAACCTGCTGTGAGCAGGGAGTTGGGGTAGAGACCTCCAGAGCTCCCTTCCCACCCAAATCTTTCTGTGAATTTATGACAGTGCTCTAGCCAAGTCAAAAGGAAAGAAAAAAATCAGCTTCTCCGGGCAGGGAAGAAAACATCGCAGCGAAGGCATTGCATTGGTGCTTAGGTGCATGGTGTATTAGATCTGGGGAAGGGAGAAAGGACCAGAGGAACAGGGACAAGGAAATGGGTCTGGGAAAGAGGAAGGTGGAAACAGATGTGGAGACGGACAGCAGCGATGTTGCTGCAATATCACTCCGCTACCCTGTATATCCCAGAATAAAAAGGTAACGTCAGACCTAGCAAAAGGTGTGCACGCAGCTCTGCTGCCTCATACAGCTGCACGGTGTCACAAATGATTCATGTTCAAATGGCAGTCCTGAATTTTCGAAATAGAAATGCCTACTGCCCTGCAAGCCCTCCTCCACCTCTCTCACTGCATCTCCCAGGCACCATTAAATGTCCTTCACCCGCAGTCATATTTCAAGGCTGGTGATGCCATGGGATGAGAAAGGGGATGGAGCTGGCCTACCCAGGGCGTATGTTTCCCAAGGCAGCCTGTGATGCAAGCATCTCTCTGTCCAGAGGCTCAGCACCTTCTGCAGGTCTTCTCGAAAACCTGCTTTTACAGTCAGCTGTAATAAAAGAAAAGGTCTTCAAGGGAGACTGGGAAGATGGATTTAAAACCCTCTGTCTCTAAACTGTATTGTAACACAATCCCATGATGGATTGCAATCCATTTATTTCCACAGCAGTCATGAGGTAGGGACTTGAAAAAAGATTCGTTGATAATTTAGAAGTCTAAGAACGAGGACTTTACTCTGAACAACATTTCTTGTCACTTTCCCTTACCATTCCTTTAACATTTTCCCCCCAAAAAATCAAATATACCATAATGGACCCACTCTGGGATAGCCTGAGTTCAGCTGGAAGCCACAGAGAGGCTGTTTTGCAGTCCAAGTGGAAAAGCAACCTTTGGGCACTAGCAGGAGCGAGTAACCGGGGTTTCTGGCACTGCCTGTGCACAGCTGAGTCTCTCACTTCTGGGGAGATTCATAGGGCTTTTGCATACGGTGCAGGCTGAAAAAGCACGTACAAATGGCACAAGCAAATACATTTCGCCGCAGCCTCATTCTGTGACATCATTTCTTTTTAACAGTGAAAATCACTCAGGCCTGAAATCAATCACCCTGTGGCCGAGCGACGAGAAAGCGCAAGGCACCAACGTCAGTGTGAGCTTCAGAAATTATGACAGTATTGGCATCCTCTTTTTTTTCTGGGGCCATTATGAACGCCGGGTGTATTTTTGATTATGCTAGGGCTTCCCAAGCCATTTTGCTTTAGGGAAATGTATAGCCAAGCACGTTTAACATACCTCCTGAAGATTATTTTGCTAAGGTCTGTGCCTTACTATACAATTAGGAACCTATTTTCTGCAAGATTACTAAACACCAAGCTCATCTCCTTGACCCCAACAAGAGTTGTTAAATGCTTCAGCTCTTTTGGAAAATTAAGACATTTATTTAGCTGTCCCAAGTCGGATTTAAGACTCAAATTGAAGCATCTAGTTAAAAAAAAAAAAACCAACCCCGAAGTTTCCCTTGGTCTTCAACACTAAAATCACCCTGCCAGCAGCGAGTACCGCATCAGTGCTCTGATTAACCCCAGAACTGCTTCGTGTTGGGGTGCAGCCAGGAGGTGCTCAGGCAGGACAGACTCGCTGTGGGAATCTCTGCTGACCAGACCTGGACACACCAAGGCTTATTTCAAGTCCTTGCTTCCCACTATGCTTCCTGTACCAAAAGAGTCATTTGGGATCGTGTCACCCAGGCATCTCTGTTTATTCAAAACAACCTTGCATCCTTCGGCTCTGCATCGTCGCGCTCACCCACATACAGCCTGCTGCGCTCCCTCAAACAGTTTGCTGAGTTACCCTGAGCTGTTTCCTACAGTCTGGCTGTAATTATGGAATGGGTGACTCTGCAATGGTGTCACCTTTCTGTGGTTATATTTCCGAGTCCTCGATAGGGCCATTCAAAAATACTGCAGTAGGAAATGAGGGCAAAGATTCGTTGGGACGGATAAAGTTTCCAGCTGGGAACTGTTTTCCTTTTGAGACAGCATGGTCTTGGGTTGACTTATTCCTCACAACCTGATTCTTAAGCATCCCCATATCTGAGTCCCAGGCTTGTCCCCGCCGTAGTTTCTTAAAGGTGTTGCGGAAACCCTCAGTACTGAAGTAGTAGATCAAGGGGTCCAGCGTGCAGTTCATGCTGGCCAACAGCATTGTCATAATTAACACTTGTCGCACAGAGGCCTGTGTTTCTTGCTCAACCTTCATCACCCGGGCCTTTATCATCCCATAAACTGCCAGGGTGGTGTTGTAGGGCACAAAGCAAATGATGAAGATGACCAGATTGACCAAGAGGAGACGGACAGTCTTCTGCTGTCGCAGAGTCTTCGTCTGGGTGTCGTGGCAGAGCTCTTGGAAGATCCGAATCGAGCAGTATGTCACGCAGCTGAGAGGCAGGAGAAACCCCAAGATTTCAGCCAGTACAACGAGGGGGAAGAGGTTATTCTGCCACATGTTGTCACTAAAGCTTTCAAAGCACAGATAAACGGTCTGGTTCTGTACCTCACAGTGGTTTTGCTTGTGGACTATGGCTGTGGGGATGGAGCCCATGAAGATCACAACCCAGACGATCAGGCAAAGGAGCTTGGCTACCTTGGGGCGCCTGAGATGTCGCCAACGAAGAGGGTGGACAATGGCAACGTAGCGATCCAGGTTGATGCACATGAGGAAGAGGCAGCTACCGTACATGTTGATCTGGAAGACAGAGCCAGACACCTGGCACAGCGTGTTACCGAAGGGCCAGTGGTGGTTGGAGTAGTAGTAGAGTCGCAGCGGCAGAGGGAGTGTGAAGGTGAGGTCGCTGACGGCCAGGTTGAACATGTAGATCATCACTACAGACTTCAGGCGCAGGTAGCGGATGAATATCCACAGGGCCATCACGTTCAGTGTCAGACCCGTAATGAATATCAAGATATAGCCAGGCAGGAGGAGGTGGTGGTTGAAGCTGTAATCCTTGCATGTCTGAGATGCATTGGAAGCTGACATGCCCAGCCGGGATTAGTGGAGGGTCTCGAAGAGATGGTTGAGACTGCTGCTGGGCTAAGGAGGCACGAGAAAAGCCCTGAGAGAAGTCATTCCCCTCTAAGAAGGTACAGGCAGGTCATTCCCCTCATCTGCAGCTTGGGTGGGAGATGGGCACATCTCTCCCTTGGCTGGCGCTGCTTTGGATTGCTGGTCAGTGGTTATCTGGCAGGGATGGTAACGTAGTCAGCTTCTGCCTCTAGTTCAGCGCTTCCTTCCAGTGGTTTTGGGGATGCTGATGCGATGGAGGGTCATTGCCAGTTGTTGAATGTCAGCACAATTCCTGGTCAGAGCGGAAGACCAAGACAGAAGAGTTTAAGTTAGAGGGGGAAATCTCTTGGAAGGTCAAAATCCCACCATGATGACTTCTGCTGCCAGAACTCACAAAGAAACTGAGAGACTAAGAAGAATGGACAGTGGAAAAGTGAGTAATTACATGGCAGAAGAAGCCAGAGCACAGAGAAGGTGATTGTTGTGCAGAATCGTTCATTGCTCTGCCCCAGAAAATGCAGGTTACTTCGATCACTGCTGAGAGCACATGCATACGAGAAAGGGGCAACACAGGAGCACACGGGGAAAGTAGTCAAGGCAGCTCCAGCAGAAGAGACGCAGAGAAAGAGAAAGAACAGAGCAAGCATTTTGTGGGAAAAAATGCTGACTGGAAGGAACTTAAAATGAAAGCTGTGTGGTATTGTTTATATCAGAGAAACAGGACTTTGTACATCCACTGCAGATAAAAGGGATTATACTACTGTTAGACTTGGCTCCATCCCACCTCCTTTTTCTTAGGTGAAACAACCCACATGCACCGGAGCCGCAGCTAGCTGGAGTTTCTTATTATGCTTTACGCTCGTACCGTTCCTCTGGTGTCCTCTCTCGCGTGGGACCAGTGGTGCCTGTTTGGGTTGCATGTCCTCAGATCATTTCCCTGATTACGCCACCATAAAGCATGAGGCAGCCCGTGTCCCACGCACACGGAGCAGCACAGCCAGGCAAGGGAGGACACAGTAAAGAAGGAAGGGCTGTGGGATTCATGTGGACAAACGCACCTGTGGTTCCAAAGTGGTGTGAGGCTGGTAACCACTCTAGATACTAAGGGTAGCACTGTCCTGCCAAACTGGACTGAGTCCAGCGGAAGGCCAACAGAACAGTCTGGGGGCTGGAGCACTTGCTCCTTGAGGAGATGCTGAGGGTACTGGCCTTGTTCATCCGGAGAAGAGAAGGCTCCAGGGGATGTAATAGCAGCCTCCCTCTACTGGGTTTGCTTGGCAAGGTGTTGGTCGTGGAGGGCTCTTGGGGTGGCTTCTGCGAGAAGATGCCAGAAGCCTCCCTTATGTCCAGCTGAGCCAATGCCGGGCGGCTCCAGCACAGACCAACCGCCAACCACCAGTGGTGGTGGCAGTGCCTCTAGGATAAAGGGGAAAGTGCTGCACAACAGCAGCCAGAGAGAGAAGTGAGAGTGTGGGAGAGAAACAGCACTGAATACACCCAGGTCAGTGCGGAAAGGCGGGAGGAGGAGCCCGGAGCAGAGGTTCCCCGGCAGCCCGTGGGAAGGTGGTGCTGGAGCAGGCTGCTCCTGCCCCCACGGAAGGGACCCATGCGGGAGCCGTTGGTGAAGAACTGCAGCCCCTGGGAAGGGCTCACGTGGGAGAAGTTGGTGGAGGACTGTCTCCCGTGGGAGGGACCCCACGCTGGAGCAGGGGCAGGGTGTGAGGATCCTGCCCTGAGGAGGAAGGAGCGGCAGAGACAGCATGTGATGGACTGACCACAACCCCCATACCCCATCCCCTGCGCTGCTGGGGGGAGGAAGTAGAGAAATGGGGAGCAAAGCTGAGCCTGGGAAGAAAAGTAGGGTGGGGGGTAGGGGTTTTGCACTATGGGTTTATTTGTCATTATCCCCCTCTGATTTGATTGGTAACAAATAAAACTGATTTCACTCAGTCAAGTCAGTTTTGCCCGTGATGGAAACTGCTGGATGATCTCTCCCTGCCATTATCTCGCCCCACGAGCCTTTTGTTGTACTTTCTCTCCCCTGCCCAGCTGAGGAGGGGAGTGATGGAGCGGCTTTGGTGGGCACCTGGCCTCCAGCCAGGGTCAGCCCACCACACTCCCCCCACCTGCAAGGTGGCTACCGGGAGAGGACAGAGTTCGCTGTCCACAGTGGGGCATGGCTGCGGGACAGGAGGCGATGGGCGTAAATCGAAGGAATAGGAGTTCAGACTGGATGTAGGGAGCACTGTGAGGACAGCCAGGCATTGCAACAGGTTTCCTAGAGAGGTTGTGGAGTCTCCATCCTTGGAATTTTTCAAGACTGGACTGTGTAAATCCAGAGTAACCTCACCTGATCTGACAGCTGACCCTCCTTTGAGTAGGAGGTTGGGCTAGAGACTGCCTTAATTATTCTATGACCCTAAAACTCGATGTCTGCTCTCAACGCTGTCACAGTGGAGTAGGGGTTGGTAAGTATGACACAGTTCCCCACCGCTGTTCGCAAGGGTTAGGCAGGGACTCCCTCACAGAGCCCATGCACCTCACAAGGAAAGTAGAGCTTCCTGTCTAGGGGAAATCTTTCCGTAGGGTTGATATTAGTGTAAGAGGAAGCTACTCGGCAATTTGACAGGCAGGACAAGTATGTCAGGCCTGGATAGCACTGTGGGGCAATGCACAGACCTGGAGAGAGGGTCTGTTGAAGACAGAAGGAGTGCATGCTGGCATCATAGGTAGGAAAATATTAATTCTGGCAACAATATGTTAAACAATTAAAGTGGAAGTCTAATATGAAAGAGTAGAGAGCTGTCAATCTGCCCATCCTTTTGTGTTGTTGGGCTGGTTCACCACCCAGAGAGGTTTCTTACAGGAACTTCTACTGCTCTGGCAAGGTCCCTCTGTGTGCCTTTCACCCTTCTTTGACGAAGGTGGATGGAAACTTTGTGTGGAGGCTTGCGTAAATGTTACGTGTAAGCTAAGACCAGGCTGGATGAGGCTTGGAGCAACCTGGTCTAGTGGAAGGTGTCCCTGCCCATGGCAGGGGGGTTGGAACTGGATGGTCTTTAAGGTCCCTTCAACCCAAACTGTTCTGTGATTCTATGATAATCCAGCAAGACAAGGCAAATGTGCAAGGATGTTGTTGGTTTCAAGTGAAATGATTAGATGCTTCAAACAGTCACAACGAGGATATGCCAGCTTCTACTAGAGCCAAACCCTTGCAATGACTGTAGATTCAACAGACTGGTGAGACCTTCGTCTTGACAGAGAATGAGTGAGTGAATGAGACCCTGTGAGAGAACGTGACGTGCTCTGACACGTGTGCCCAGACCAGGCATGTGTCAGGTGAAGATGTCCTGTCTCCACAGAAAAGCTATTTTTATCAAGATCTATTCAATAAACACCTCTAGGGAATATAATATGTAAGCATGATCCACACTGTGTGAGATCGGTGCTCCACCTACAGCTAGTATTCTATCTCAAACTGCAGATGGTGAGGGCATAATGTAAGTACAGTGCAACCATGGAGTTAGGCTCCCTGAAATTCTCTTCCTGCTTCCAGCATATTGTAGCCCAGGGGCTTCTTGAGCCAGAGGTGACCTATTGGTATTCAGTCAAGGCATAATGGGTTTAAATTGAAAGTGGGGAGGTTTAGACTGGATATCAGGAAGAAATTCTTCCCGCAGAGGGTGGGGAGGCACTGGGACAGGTTGCCCAGAGAAGCTGTGGATGCCCCATCCCTGGAAGTGTCCAAGGCCAGGCTGGATGAGGCTTGGAGCAACCTGGTCTGGTGGAAGGGGTCCCTGCCCATGGCAGGGGGGTTGGAACTGGGTGGTCTTTGAGGTCCCTTCCTTCTAGTCGTCCTCTGGGAACTTTTTTTTCATTATTTCATTCCAGTTGCTTTTTGAGGCGATGTAAAATTTACCAACTCCAACATCCAGTGCCAGGAACACCAAGGAGTTCCACAGCTTGACTGTGTCTCAGGTGAAGAACCACTTCCTTGTACTAATTCTTGAATCAACACCTGCTATATTCAGTTCCTAGTTTTAGTGCTGGAAGAGACAGTGGAAAAGACATCCCTATTCACCTTGTCACTGATGATACCATATGTCTACCATACTCCCCCTCAGTAACCCTTCTTCTTTTTTTTGAGGCTAAAGAGTCTTCCTCTTCGTAGCTGTTCCTCACAGCGGAGGCGTTCTGTCCTTGTTGCCCTTCTCAGCACCTTTCCGCGTCTGCTGCTGCCTCTGTGAGCCCTGCGGTGGGGCGCTGAGAGACCCCACAGCGTTGGTGATGTGGCCGCGCCACGTAGGCGCAGATCTCGTCTGCAAGGGGTAATGGTCAGTTCAGTTTGCTTCTTCTCATCGCTTTGCTAGATGAAATTTCAGCGGTGATTTTATGGCCAGTCGCTCCCGCTTCTCTTAATCTCTGCAGTTATGCGCAGCCAACCCTCATCTTTTCTAACCTGAATAATTTTATGTCTCCGGCAGATCTGTTATTTTATTATTCATCCCTCATGAATAAGTCAAACGGTCCAAGGCCCAGCACCGGTGTCTTATAACTCCACTGAGAAAACCAACCATCTGCCCTCATTCTCTGCCTTATCCTTTAGGCACTTTTTGTCCGGGTAGGAACTTTTTCTCTAAATTTCTTTAAGCACCATTGGTGCTTAAAAGCCTTTTGAAAGCCTTTTGGAAATACACGTGGGCCACTGTTGGTGTGCTTGTTGCCTCCTTCAAAGAAGGACTGTGAGACACCGCATTCCTTTATAAAACCACGATGACTCTTCCCCGGTAATTAGATTTGACTGCATGCCAATTGATTTTTTTCCTTTATTATAGCTTCTACTAATTTGTTCAGCACAGACATCAAGCTCCGTGGTCTGAAATCCCTCAAGAGCCTTTTCTCTAATTGTGTCCGCTAGCCAGCCTTTAAAAGCAATTTTAAATAAATATCTCTACATCACAGTTAGCTCTTCT